AGAAAGAAAGAAAAAATGAAGAGCAGGTGAGAGAGAGAATGAACATTCTACCTATTAGGTTTGGCAAAAACTATCTTATTTCTTGATGGTGATCTTACTACCATTAGACCTTACCACGCCTATCGATGTCGACGACGATGAAGAAGATATCCCGGACCGATCGAACTCCTCCTTGTCCTTGTCGAATGCCTGGGTTAGTACTTCCTGGAGTTCCATGTACTTTCGTCTCTTTGTGAGCCGCAACTCTGGCGTGTCATTCCCCGTGTATTGAAGCTGTGATATGTCATCACCGTCCATGATCTTATTCGGTACTTCTGAGCAAAGAGGAAAGAAGCGTTTCCGATCTCCACTGCAACATGAAAATTTCAGATACTGAAACTTTAGCAGACGTGGGTAAGGCGAGTTCAAATCCCTCCTCGTAGATTAGAGTGATTTAATATATCGTCTTATCAAGCAAAGAAAAGAAGTGATGGATAATACTGTGAAACAAGATTATACCAGCTCGAGATAGAGCTTGTAGACGGTTAAGGTGCTCTTCCTTGATTTTGAAGGGTGCCTCGTTTAAGTCCACAGTCGTCCTCTGAGAACTGGCCAGATCCTTTGGTAACTCAGAAGCGCCGCCATCGATTTGGGAGATATCCATTACAACCTTGGCTTCCATGGGGAACAGATACTTTGCCAGTCCAACTGACAAGAAACAATCAATCAGCAACACAATCAGATTTCATAAGCCAAAAAAGAAGAGCAAACTAACACTCATACGCTCTAATTTAAACACAAACAAGAGCGAATTTTACCTCTATTCTCAAGGTACAAGAGTTTCATGCGCAGATCATCACCGGCCATAGCAAGCGAAAGCAAGGCTTCTCCAAGCAACGTAACCCTTCCGCTTGCTCCAAAATCTCTATGCACAAGCGATCGTTGGAAGAAGACTTGCCGTCGTTGTTAGACTTGAAAAATTCTGCAGCCCGGGTAAGCCACTTAGTGATCCGCACAGCTTTCCTCCCATCCAGTGTAAGATCCGAAGGGCGAGCACCCTTCGTGACAAGGGACACAATGATCTTAGGCTCCTTCCTCATAGCGCAACGTGAAGCACAGTTTACCCCCTCGAATTCCTACAATTAACATCTGCGATTCCAAGATCAAGCAGATCCGTTGTGGTCTTTGCATCACAGTACGCCACGGCGTAGTGCAGCGCAAAGGCATCGTCAAGATTGGTATGCCCTTCATTCAGCAGCATTCGCACCAACTCGACATCATCTGAATCCAAAGCCCGGTGTATCCTCTTGGTGTGTTTATCTGGGAAATGACTAGTACTAGCACTAGAGGAGCACTGCTAAGGGCTGTCCAAGCCGAATGCAAGCCTGGTGTCGGTGATCTGCTTCACAGTGTGTTGCGGCAGGGCTTTCTCCAGAGTTACAACAGCGGCATCAGACTTCACTATCATCTCAATGCACCTCCCCGCCAATCTCTCGCACGGTTTGCCGCACATGTTGGCGACGTACAGAACCACCAGTGCGTCATCTATGGCAACTTTTTCAAGAATATCGAGCAGATGCCTCTGGAAATTAATCATCAATACAAAACAAACTAACAACAAAGTTTCAGAAAGTTGATAAACATCATTCACTATTATAAACACACGTATGAAAGCTGAAAGTGGAATGTTCTTTCGTCAAACTATTTAAGATGTTTACGTATTCAAACTATGGATCTCAATCTTTATTGTGATTAGGTGTTAACCGAACACGGTAACATAAACCTTCAAATTCAGACAACAAAAATATAAACGAAATTTTAGAAAGCTGATAGCTAAAAATTTAAACAACATTCACTATCATGCACGTATACAAAAATGGCAGCTCCAAGCCAACAAGGCTTTCGGCCTTAAGAAGATTGGGGAAACGTACATAGCATTACCTTTGTTTTTCACTATTATGCACGTATATAAACACTAAAAAGTATCCAAATTTGTTCATCTGCTAAACTATCAAAGAATGTAAGATGTCTATGTTGTCTGACTGCAAATCACAGTAATTAGTCCGGTTAATTATATAGAGTTCAAATTAATGATACGACAACATAATAATCTTCTATTATCATTATGTGAATCTCAACCTCTCGTCGGAGTCGGAATAATTATTGGAAAATATCATTCAAAGTTCAAACTAATCACTGTAAAAACAACCAAACGTAATATGTTTTAGAGAAATATTATTGGCACTTCAAAAATCTCATTCTACACTCTTTATAAGTGTATTTGTTTTTCCAAATATAAAAAATTTAAAATGTAGAATAAGATTTTTAAAATGACAATAACAATACCCTATATTTTATGGTCATACTATGGATTTTGACCATATACGGGGCGAATGACTAGTTTGACCATGAAGTCGCAGTCCGCCAACCTAAGCACGTGTAAGTATAAAAAAGATACTAGTGAAGTTTTTACCTGATAAAGTGAGACCAATTCGGAGATCTGAAAAGTTGCAGAAGCATATAGAATCTCCACCATGAAATCAACCACCGGCCGGCAAGCAACATGAGCGCAAGCGTCGTCCACGCAGACGCAAACGCCTTTGGGCAACGACCTAAGCTTCCCGCTGTACAAATACCCCAAAACGGAGAGGAGCGCGTCCAATCCGACGTCGTATTCCTTCGCGAGCTCCTTTAATTCAAACCGAGGAGCCGCCAACGATGATCATCTGTCCTTCGCCGAGAACACGTTCTTAAAAAAACGAGCTCCTCGCCGACAAGACGCAGCGGTGGACGGGAACTTCCAGGGTGGCGTTGACGACGATATTGGCGTCGGCGAGTAGCCGAAGTGGGCGGAGTCGAAGATCGATTCGAGGTTGTCTGAGAGGCGGTTGAGGGCGGAGTCGGGCGGGGGAGGGTTGTAGGGTCATGCCATGCAGGAGATGCTACTGCTGTTGGAGTTTCTGTTGCTAACAACGTCGTTCGAGTCCGAGACACCGATTTTCAAAAAATTCATCGGGAACAAGAGAACTGAGTCGGGTGATCCGAGTTTGTGAGTTGGGGGGTTGATCGGGTCGAATCGAAGTTGTTTAAATACATGAGTTTTGAAGTCAGAGCAAAGAGAGAGGGAGGAGAGAGAACATGGGTGACGATCAGTGAAAACAAAATCCCGATTACGCAAAAATTGCTGATCAAATTTTAAAAATTAAATTTTTTGTAACAATTTACAATTTCTTGTTTGTCCTTGCGTAAATTATGATCAAACACAATTCCCAAGTTCCAAGTTGATGGATGCAAAAAGTTGTTCTGTGTTGGGACTGCGATCGATGAGAACATTACGCTACTGCGATGGTATTTCAAATCAAAAATATGTTGTAATACAATTCTCGATTAATTTAGAATATTGTTACAGTATCATCCCGATGCAAATAAGATTCTCGATTTTGAAGTTCAATTTGCTGCTGCATAAGTGCATGGAAATCCGGATAAAAAGGCCGTATTTTTACTCACCCACATTAAATTTGATGTATACTCACCATACTTCTTATTAGTTGTCATTTGTCATTTCCTTTAACCCTAGTAAACTTGTTAATTAAATATATCTTTTTCAAAATTTTAAACTAATTTTAAGCATTAAAAATAAAAATAAAAATCCAAACCCCTCAAGCGTTTCAACTTCTCCACCCAGCAACCCCATGAACACCCACCCACGGCCAAAGATTCGATGATGACGATGAGAACGTTGTTTTAACCTTTTCTTCAACTGTGACTATATGATCGGCAACTCGATAATCGAAGACCATACAACAATAGCCAGAGACAACTACGACGGCTGCACCATTGCAACCATGAAATTCGATGGCGGCCTCACCTAAAGAACTAGCCCTTTCTCTTTCTTGGCGAGGACATTTCTGTGCACATACAGATTTGAAATTTTTTTCGATTTGGGATATTTTCTTGGCGATGACATTTGTTGAGTTTTCTTTATAAAATAAATTAGAGTTACAGTGGAATAAGAGGGATGGCGTATGGCGGAAGATAGAGTGGCTGATTCACCATGGCTTATGAACAAGAAGATTGAAAGGATGGGTGGGGGTTGGCTGGTTGGGGAAGTTGAAAAACTTCTGGGAGTTCACTTTATTTATTTAATCATGTTTAAATTAGTTTTAAAAAGTAAAATAGTTATATTAATTAACAAGTTTACTAGGATTAAAAGATAGGACACATGACAACTAACAAAATGTATGATGAGCATACACTAAAGTTAATGTAGGTGAGCAAAAATACGCCCTTTATTTTATGTCACCGATGGCATTATTGATGGGGTCGGAGTCTTCGGACGATCGTCATGACCACCGTTCTGCAGGCTTTGCTAGTGACTAATTTATTGCTACAAAAGTAGATGTGTAGCACTCTAGCTCTGTTATGCATGAAAAGGCAAGGTCTCGTTGCTTTGTGGGACCTGTTTTTGCAAAATTTGGGGAGTCTCGCCACTTGTGAGATTCACAACAATCAACAGTCATCGACGGATGAGCAGGTGATGCTAGAGAGATCCCACATTTTATTTCTATTACGGATGAAGATAAAGAGACATATCAAACTCTAAAGTTGAATAGGAACGGATAAACCACGATGTTAAAGCTCTTGAGGTGAATGAATTTCATTTTTTGAGGAGATAGATTGGACATGAATAAAACTGATCACTCCCAATCTTCTGTTTTGGGAGATTAGAATGTACAAGTTTCTGTAACGAGTAATCTATCTTCTCAATTCAAACTGGACACAGAATTTCATTTTGTTCTTCAACGTGCAAGGATTATTTATAGTAAGTTGTCCATTCCGATCCAATCCGGACTCCAAATGAGGCCATCAAGTGATAAGAAGGATATATAATGCACATGAATGCCATATAGAAACTTAAGTAACCAAAAAATCTTACAATTTTTCATGTATATCCCCTGATTTGTCATCAGGCAGAAAAGAATGAGGATGAAGTATCACACAACTTGACAAAAAACTCACAACTAATCTTTGTTTCCATGAGGGGAGCACACCTTCTCCAAACCTCTTCCTATTGACGCCCCAAACCCACCTTCCTTCTTAGGTGTGGAAACCGGATTTTTCTCTTCTTTCTTGGGATGGATCGCTTCGACAATGGCCTCAAATTCCTCCTTTGCTCTTTCAAAAACATTCGGACCCTTAACATGATTGATTGGGATACTCTCGTCAATGTCATCACTCCTTCCGTGAGTTTCTTTGGTATGATGCTTTGGTGACTTCTCGTGTGTTTCTTTATCATGATTCTTCGGCGACTTCTCATGGTGCATCATTGTCTCAATCTTCTCCTTGGCTCTCCCAATCAAACTGGCTATCTTGACATGATTTTCTGCAAACATCAACTAAAAACTAATAGCACACAAACTTTGGGTTTCAAGAATCCTCCACAAACAGCATTCAGACAGCATGCCACAAATGGAAAAGATTTCTTTTTGGTCGAACAGAGAAGATTACAAAGGTTGACATATAAACAGGTGATTCAGCAAAGCAATATGAAAACAATCACGAGGACCTTAACAACTAGAATATTAAATGTTTGTAGTAGAACAACTAACAATGGAGAAGATCAAAGACTCAGAGGCAAATACAAACACAGAACAGTTTTTACCACAATCCATTCAAGACGAAGCCTGGGACGCTCAAGAAAATGAAGGAAAATGGGCTTTCGATCGAATTTCAATACAACCAATTGGGGAAACCAAATGTGACCTGCAAGGTGAAACCGAACTACGAGGACAACTACAGTATGTAAAGCCATGCAAAAGTTCCGGCAAAAAATCTCATACAAGCAACATTGTCATGAACGTCATACCTGATAGAGAATCAGCTTTCTCCTGTTTTTTCGACTCCTTTTTACTTTCGTCCCTGCAATCAAATCAACAAACGCAATGAGCACATATTTAAGCACATCAAAAAGACCAAATTCAGCCTACATTTCAACTTTTCAATTTGTTCAAATTAAGGGGACAATAAAAACCAACTTTTTTCCAGTGAGTGGGAGACTCTTTCTTGGGATGAATTGCTTCAACTATGGCCTCAAACTCCTCCTTCGCCCTCTCGAACATATTCGGAGCTTTGACACCGTCTAACGGGGTGTTTTCATCGATATCATTTCGCAATCCATGAGTTTCCTTGTGATCATGATGTGATTTGTCAGTGTGCCGCATTGCCTCAATCTCTTCCTTTGCTCTTTCAAGCAAATTATGTGCCTTTACGTCCTTATCTGTTACAAATTTTCGACATTTACAAGAAATTCATCCCATTAATTAAACGATAATCCTCTTTTCTACACAAACACATTATAATCTACCAAAATTAGATAACTTTAAGGAAATTCAGCAAAACTAATCGAATCCGAAACAATAATTAGATCCAGAAAATGATCAAATTGGATAATCTAACAAATGGGTTTCAGGAGTAAAACGAGAATCAGATATTTGGAAAAAAATCGTACCAGGTGGAGCTTGCGTTGTTCCAGGTTTGGATTCTGCCATTGGAGTTGCTTGTCAGAGAGAGAGAGAGAGAGAGAGAGAGAGGGAGATGGAGATGGTTAGAAGATCAGTTGGCGAATCGAGAGGATGACAAGTGAGAAAATAGAATCGAATCAAAACGTGTAAGATGCCAGATTGGACAAAGGGCCTACCTGTTAAGTCTATTGCGGCGGCTTGGACCCGCTATAACAGAAAAGAATGCGATTCGAGATAGGGCCGCTTGTCCCCTATCACAAGGTTCCAAAGCATTTATAATAGTGTATCGGGTTTTTAACTGCTAACCCGATAACGATCTGAAACGTTAATGGATTATCTAACAACGACTTAATTCATTAACAAGTTAACTTAAAATGCGTTTTTTTGTGTCGTTTGATGTTGAATTAACAAGTCGTATTAGAAATTGTCAGGCCTAGTATGTATATAAACTGTCATTCGACCTTTTGAACTATTAGCCAATTGAAAATGACCCTTGAGGAGCCAAAAATAATCAAGATGCGACACGTGGATTTTTAGTTGAAAATAACAAAATTACCCTAGACACACACTGGATTTCCTACATGCAAGCAGTGGAGAATCATCCATCAACCGAGTCAAGAGTGCCTAAAATAGGTAACAAGTTCAAATTTATCTCATCCATCTTTACTCCATATCCTCTACAAGGAAATCATTCCATAACCTTCAAAACCTTCCATATAAATTAAATTAATGAGGCTAATTAATGGATTAATTCCATTAATCACCCCATTAATCACCCATTACACACCAAAAAGACCCCAAAGGGCCGGCCACATTTTCTCCAAAGGGGACCGGCTATGCCCTATATATTGAACCCCATTTTTCTCTAAAAAGCTAGTTCCACACTCTTGCAAAACTCCCAAAAACTCTCCAAACACTTTTCTCTCTAAATTCTAGCTTTGGCATCGGAGGTTCTTCGGCCAAAGCGCCCCCCCCATTCATCGTGGGTGCATGAGGCTTTTGGCCTTGACCCTAAGGTGTTAATTGTTTTGTAGGTGCAATTTTGTCCAATAACAAAGAGAAAGAAATTTGCATCCACGACCTTGTAAACTAATCTTCTGGTAAATTAATCTCCTAAATTTTTTTTTTTTCAAACGATTGATTTTGTTAGATTAAATGTTAAATTAGTCACCGACACAGTTTGAATCCACGCCGTCATACAATAATTTAACACATTTTCATCATTGTGGTAAAATGTCACTTGCTACCTCCTGGACTATTTGAAATCAACCAATTAACCTTCTCATTGATATATTCGATAAAATTTCATCTACTTTGTCGTTAAATACCGGCGCGACTTTACTCTTAAGAGTGAATTACGTGTTAATCACCCTTAAAAGGCCTATTATATGACTCAAAGACGTCTAATCTTGTTTAAATTTGTAATCGGAAGAGAATATATGTATGAACATGATAAAATTATTAATAACAATTGAAATAAACAAATATAAAGTAAAAGGAAATTAAAATAGATAAAGAAGCATAAAGCAAAATAAAGATGTAAGAAAAGAATAAAACAACCTCACATTTATTATATCTTCAGTCAGAAAGATGCACACAGGGTAGTTACAACAGACACCAAAGCACTGTCATACTTTTAGACTATAATTTTACAATTTGAAGAAAAAGCTTGTTTACAACTGAGCACCAAGGCTCTATTTATAACAAAACCTAAGAACAAAACGATAAAGAAATAATCTTCTATGTGTTGCCTAAGTAGAGGGTCACCATAAAGTAGCCTTCTATAGGTGGATGACATATTCACTTTATTCAGTGAATCTAATTCAACTTCACATAGGTGAACAACAAAATAAAAGACTCTTAAATAAAGAATCAAACAGACGCACATAACTACATAAAAAGTAGCCAATTATTCACAAGTAGAATAATTATTTTCTTGTCTTGATATTAGGCAACATTTCAATTATTCTTATCTTGTTTGTTTTCATAAGAAAAGCAATTCATGCTTTTTTGCCTTAAGGAATGGGTGAAAGAATCCCATAACGGTCATCTCTATTATCATATGCTAAGCCTTCATAGATTAGTTGTTGAGAGGAAGTAGACATTGATGTCATTTCTTCGTCCAAGTGATCGAGGTCAAGAATTTGTAAGACCTTTTTCAAGTCTGCTTTAGAAGAAGATGAGATAGATTGCTCAATTAAAGACTTTAGTTTTTCAACCATATTAAGAGAGAATCTGGTACTAGAAGAGAAGATCCATCCTCACGAGAAATCTAATTTAAGTTTATTTTTGCTTGAAAAGGATGAGGCTTAAGGTGATATAGTTAAATTAACGAATATATATTCGTCTTTCTAGTTGGGGAATATGACACCCTCTCAATTTTCGATGATCGGATTGAACGAATTGAAGAAGATCAATGACAAAAAATTAACAAGGATGTCAAGCGGTAAAAATGAGTGTGTAACTATCCCCCCCCACTCCTCTCTCTCTCTCTCTCTCTCTCTCTCTCTCTCTCTATATATATATATAGACACACACACATACATGCTTTTTTTTCTTTTCACACGCTTCCATTTATTTATTCATTTTTTTTATTTAATTCAGTTTAAATGTCTAAATTAAACATAAAAGCACAATACAGAAAATGAGTATAAAAAATCAGAAAGGGATCCTCTCTGATCCCTTTCATCAAATCCACCACTTCGAGCTCTTGAAATTTGATCCAACGGTTAAAGTTATTATAACTTTTAAAGTAAGTTCCTGTTTTTAGCCGTTGGATCAAATTTCAAGGGTCCGGATTGTGGATTGGGCGGATTTGATCCAACGGCCAACCTATTAAAAGCTGTAAACGGGTCTTTTTCTAACCAATTTGTTAGAGATCTTGCATCTGCACAACGCTGGGTCCATGGACCTGGGTAATAGCTAAGATAGGCCCAGCCCACTTGACTCACATAATCAGGCCCATATAGTTTTTTTCTTCAGTTAAATACTCAAGGCCCAGTTTGGCAGCACCCATTACTTTTTTTTTTTTCCTCTCTTTTTTCATTCAATTTTAATTTTTACTTGATTTTATGAAGTCTTAAATTGTTTCCTGATAATATTGCATTTGGTGGCGTCAGTTTGACCACTCAAAATTGTAAGGTTTGGCCACTTAGTACTACGGTTAAGTAGTATTCCTCTTCACTTGTAAATGAGAAATCTTAGGTTCGATTATCGTCAAAGTCGAATTTGAACTACATTATTACTAGCTCATTGTGAGCCTAAGCCCAACCACCTTCCTTTTAGTATAAATAGTATCAGTTGTTCAGAAAATTGAAAGGTTTGAAATTGAAGGCTGCAGACATAACTTAGAAGCCCTACCTTGTAGGTAAAGCCAATAAACATCTTCAAACGTCTGCATAAATTAGCCTAAATTATATGCACTTGCAGACTGCAGCATTTGCATAAATACTTTAAAAATGGAAAATTATTGAGCTCATGGTCTATATATATATATAGCTGCAAATTGAGGTTTTGTAATGTTTGATAAAAATTGGGTGCCTTGTGGGCTGCTAATTGAAATCAAATAGTCAACCTAATTTTCTTGTATTTATTTATATTTTTATTTACTAGACTGATTAGTAATTTAAATAGTCAGTTATTAATTTTGGAATAAAGTTAGTTATTAATTATTATGAGAGAGAAATCAATAGAAATTGAATACGCATCGATCAGGATACATAGTTTTTAAATAAATAGAAAGAGGAAGCAGTTGGAAAATCCGACCCCATTACATATTTTTAACTTTGTTTTATATTTCTGTTGGCATATTTTTTTTTTTTATTGAAGTTTTATAAATATGACAATAGCAAGCAGTTGGAAAATCCGAGTTGGTGAGGTATTTAATTCAGCGTAACAAACACATTTATGAGTCTGAATATCTAGATATTTATTTAGGGTTGTGCACCTCCATGATTAATGGTCAAATAAATGTAAATTAGAATATAAAAATAAAGAAAAAAATATAAAAAATATTATTAGCACTTTAAAATTTTAACTCTATATATTTTTTTTAATATTTAGAAAGAAAAATGTTTTTTTTTAACAAACGATATTATCTACACTAAGGGGGAGTGGAGGAGTGGACTACGCCTCACACTGGCTAGCTATAATAATGTGGTTTAAATTCATCTTTGACAACAATTAAATTTAAGGTTTTTCACTTACAGGTAAAAAGGAAAATACTATTAGAAAGGAACAATTAAATTTTTGGAATTCTAATAATAGTTCCAAACAAATAATGAGCCATTAGGATCCAAAGACCTTAAGCCATCTCCAACTGATCCGTCCAGATGGCCGAAAATAGCCTGAAATGGCACGAAAACCGTCTTCAACCGAGGGCCAGGCCAAAGGGCTCGTGAGCCTCATCATGTCAAAAAAGGAGAAAAGGGCCAACCGGTTAGCCCATCCCAGCCAGCCAGCCAGCCTGGGGCTGGCCAAAAATTTTGAATCCAAAGGTAGCTGACTTCAGCATGACACCAACTAGCAACGGTTAGTTGACATTAGTTACCGTTGGATTCAAAAAAAGAAAAAAAATTTGGGCCAATTTTTTTTTTTTAAATTAAAAAAATCCCCATTTTTTCCTATAAATACCTAAGTCATTCCTACACCATTTCTCACATAATTTTCACCATTTCATACTATCTCACTTCATTCTATTTCAATTCTTCACATTCTATTTCCTTACCTCTTCCAATAATCTTTCCTTCAATTTTTTCAATAATTTTCAAATGGTCACATCTGCAATGAAAAGTAGGGCTTGGACCTGAAAAGAAGACGAAGCTCTTTGCAGGGCTTATAGATGGATCTCGGAAGATAGTGTGAGGGGGATTTCTCAAACAAGTGAAGGTGTTTGGACTCGTGTGTCCAAAAAAATACTTGGAGTTCTATGAATGCACCACTCCACTGAATACCCGAAACCACGAGACTTGTTCTTCAAGACGGAAGAAACATCTTCATCCAAGTTTGAATAAATGGCATCAAGCACTGTTAACAGCAGCAAGTAGACATGAAATCGGCGCCAATTACTACGACGAAGTAAGTGTTTTCACAATTTATTTTAAATATTTATTTATATTACATTTAATTTCATAAATTAATTTCCTT